AAGCCTGATGAGACAGAGCACCACAAACTGGAGCTGGAATGAATTAGCTAGTAAGTGGTGGGTTAAGGTTGTGCAGAGCCAAAGGTTAAATCTGGCAGGAGACATCCATGTCTGCAGCATTCCTGGCAGACCTGCTCTTGGGCTTCCCTGCTGAACGTCCTTTCTGTACACGTTGGTTCCTAAGCCTGTGTGTGCATGTGCACGCACGGGTATCTGGTGTCCTCCCATACCCTCAGTATTTTTTTGCAAATGAAAAGGTAAACCACTGTTCATCAAAGTAAAAACATTTAAGGTACATATGTAAATGTGTCAGGGTTTTATTCTTAGTAGGTAGCTTCTTTTCTTCCCCACTACCTCTTTTCTCCTAACTGAATAAACCTTAAGAAGGTAATTTTCTATTTCTTTGTGACTTGCCCTGTTCTCATCTGTGACCGTTTTGGTGCAAGTAAATGTTGTTTTCCCACTCTTCTAACCGGTTCTTTTTCCCCTTCTTGGAGTTAGTTGATAGGGGAGAAAGCATAACTGACTGATAGCTTTAAAAACATCAAGTAAAATGAATCTGGTGTTTAACTGAGTTGAACTAAAACATGACTACTTGAAAGAAGTTTGCAAAAGATTTGAAAGACCTGTTGATCTAAGCAGAAGGGGCTCAGGGAGCTGTCATGCCATAAGCCAACCTCTGGGATCACCTTTAAGTTGACATCCATCAGCATTTGTAGAGCTGACTGAACCCCACTCCTTTTAAAGACTTATGGGCTGTAATCCCTCAGCTAGATCAGATGGCAAAACAGATATTAGAAGTAGATTTCCCAAGTAGAGTTTGGGGGATTTTGCTGCATCAAAGTTCTGCAGGTAAACTGAGTACTCAGTGAAAAGCCATTGCAGCTTATATTGTACCATGTGCTTCCTTTCAGGAGACTTCAGTCCTTTCTAGCAAAAATTCTCCATTTGAGAGGTGAACAGTGGTTTGCTTTCTCTTTTAAGCCCCTTGTTAACACACCTTCAGAGAAGGGGCTTGCTGAAAAATCAGACAGGTGTTGCCTGATGGTAGCTGGCGTGTGTGCATTGTGATACTGAATTACCAGCCAGGGTGCCAAGAGTGGGTAATACAGTATGTCTGCACAGGCAGGTGGGGAGGGCAAAGCTCCAGGCACTGGAATGTTTTCTTCTTTCCTTTTAAAACATACTATTAAGCAAAAAGCTAAATTCACAGTTGTTCTTAGCAATCTCTTGAAGTCTGCTTATTTGGGCATGACATGCGGTACTTGAACACCAAAGAGAAGTCTGAGCCAAAGCTCTTTCCTCTCCCTCTTGAATGGTTATGCATTGCCAATCTCCACTCTATTGTTTTAAATAGCTTTCTGGTCTTTATATATCTGGTAGAAGTGGTGTTTGCACTCCTCAGGCTGTTGGCACAACTTTTATT